TCCACCGCCACCGCCCCCACCGGTACCCTCGCCCCCGCCTCCTCCGCTACCGCCTCCGCCGCCACCTCCGCCTCCACCGCCGCCACCAGTACCTCCACTCCCGCCACCACCTCCACCGCCACCCCCACTCCCTCCGCCACCCCCACCTCCTCCGCCACTGCCCTCTCTAGCTCCACCCGCTCCCTTGCCCCCCTTGCCCTTGCCAGAGCGGCGTCTACCGCTGGGGGCAGACGCCGCACCGACCGACTCAAAACCAGCAAGGTCGGCCGCAGCGGCAGAGGCGACAGAGGGCAGCAGGGGGGAAGGAGAACACCCCTCAAAGATGGGGGTGCAAGGGTCACCCCGAGAGGCCCCTATAGCGACGATGCTCTTCTCAGCCGCTAGCAGGGACTCCTCAAGGAGGTCGACAGTGAGGGTGGTGGGACAGACAGAGAGAAACTGGTCCCTAACGACACGAAGGGACTCAGGGAGACGGGTGACGAGAAAGTAGAGAGTGATGTACATGGGAGGAGGGTTTGCGGCGCGGAACTCAGCAGGAAGGGCAGCGCGGTAGCGAGCGTCACTAGCGCGGAGGTGGGTAACGAGGTCAGCGACAGTGGGAAAGGCAGCGAGGTCAGGGAAGAGAAACGGTAGCATGAGGCGGCTCAGCGTAGCGGAGGAAGGGGAGGAGTAGCGCGCAACTACAGCGTCGTACAAGGCCTGAGCGGTCTTGCACTGACTAAAGTGGGCACGCTCGGAGGAAGGGAGGTGGCGACGCACAGCAAGACGTGCAGCAGCATCGCGTGTGGCCCACTTGGAGCGAACAGCAGGGTCAGCATCAGCAGGAGGGGCAGGGACAGCTCCAGAGACAAAGTCAAAGAGAGAAACCTCATCGATCGCATCGCACAGTAAGTACAGCTGCAGGTCCTCAATCCAGACTGGAAAGTCAATGGCGCGACCCTCAGCGTCAAAAGACAGGACACTGGGGGTGGCCATTACAGCAGTTGATTGTCTCATCGGGCACGAAGAGTCGGGTAGCACAGCGGCTCAGCAACTCGGCAGAACAGCAGCTGCGCACGCCTCGCAGCAGCAGCAGCCCCGCAGGAGTAGGAGCTCGGCTCCTCAGGTTGCCCGGGCGGCTCGGGCGGCTCGGGCGGGTCTGCTGCACGGGCGGTTGTGGCGGCTCGGCTGTACGGGCGGCTCGTGCGGCGCGGGCGTCGCGACGGGCGGCTCGCTGGCGGCTCGCGGGCGGCTGCACAGGCGGCTCAGGGACGGCGGCGCGGGCAGCTCAGGGACGGCGGCCTGGGCGGTCGTGGGCGGCTCACGCTGGGCGGGTGCACGGGCGGCTCGGCGGGCGGCGTACAGGCAGCTCACGAGCGGCTGCGACGGGCGGCTCGCGGGCGTCGGGCGCTAGGGCGGTGGGGCGACGACGGGCGGCGCTCAGGCGTCAGGGCGGGCGGTCGTCAGAGCGCTAGGGCGGGCGACGCTCAGGCGTCAGGGCGGGCGGCCGTCAGGGCGCTAGGGCGGGCGGCGCTCAGGCGTCAGGGCTGGCGGCCGTCAGGGCGCAAGGGCGGGCGGCGCTCGGGCGCTAGGGCGAGCGGCCGTCAGGGCGCAAGGGCGGGCGGCGCTCGGGCGCTAGGGCGAGCGGCGCACGGGCGCTAGGGCGGGCGGCCGTTCGGGCGCTAGGGCGGGCTGCGCTCGGGCGCTAGGGCGGGCGGCGCTCGGGTGCTAGGGCGGGCGGCCGACAGGGCGCTAGGGCGGGCGGCCGTCAGGGCGCTAGGGCGAGCGGCGCACGGGCGCTAGGGCGGGCGGCCGTCAGGGCGCTAGGGCGGGCGGCGCTCGGGCGCTAGGGCGGGCGGCGCTCGGGCGCTAGGGCGGGCGGCGCTCGGGCGCTAGGGCGGGCGGCCGTCAGGGCGCTAGGGCGGGCGGCCGTCAGGGCGCTAGGGCGGGCGGCGTTCGGGCGCTAGAGCGGGCGGCCGTCAGGGCACTAGGGCGGGCGGCCGTCAGGGCGCAAGGGCGGCGGCGCTCGGGCGCTAGGGCGGGCGGCCGTCAGAGTACTAGGGCAGATCGAAAAAAAAAGAAGTACTAGGGCCCGGAGCGCGCTCCGGGCAGAAAAAAAAAAAGTTAAGAGGTAGCGGTGGTGGGCCCTACGAACAGTTCCCACAGGGGAACCTGCTCGATACCATGAGAAGAAGTGAACGAGAATGAAATCACTAGGAACGAAGTGAGTACAAATAGGAAACCCTGATTGGGTTGTACCCCTTATGGGATACCCCACTATAGCCTACAGAAACAAGTAAGCTATATGTTCTGACAAAGGGTTACAGGCACATTTGCCTGGGGGGTTATGGGCGCACTGACCCGCTACTGAAACAAGCCCTTTTATCCCAATGGTCTAGTGGTTGGGATTCTGAGACCCCCCCCCCCCCCCGCCCCCCCCCCTCCCCCCCAATTGTTGGAAGATGGGCAGACTTAGTGGACCCAGAAAAATCCGTAATTGAGCGGAATGGTCAGCCGTAGCACAACGCTTAAAATGTTTTGTAGGAGTGCAGAAGGCCTGGGTTCAATACTTGAGAGGACACTCAGAGTTGGAAAAATAGGTACACTGGGTGCCCAGAGTATATTTTTCATAAGTTAAGTTTTCTCTGACAAATCAGAGTAACGCTCATAATGAACCCTGAATTTCAGAGTTCTCTAGAAAACAGCTTTGGAAATCCGAGTAGTGAAAATCCAAAAAAAAAAAAAAAAAAAAAAAAGCCCTGTTGGTCTTGCTGCTGGTGCTCGGGAGTTGGAAAAGAACTCGCTTTATGCCGCCTCGTTGCGTGATCGTCATGATGTCAAGTTCTTCCCCTTGGCTATCGAGACTTTCGGTTGCTTCGGAAAGACTGCGGTCGGCGTGGTACAACCCGTATCCGTGACTGGAGTGGTACGACGGACCTGGTGCCCCAACTTCTGGAAACCAATTTCTTCAAGCGCGTCTCCTTCGTTCTTCAGCGCGAGCAAGCTCGAACGATGTGTCGGCGTTCCCAGATTCGTCTTACTGGCGCTCCTGATTTGTTGGCATCCGAAGCCACCCTACCCTCGGTGGCTGACTTTGCCTACTTGGGCCCGGATGGCTGAGTGCCATTAGTTTCCTTACTGTAGATGTTTGCGTATGATGCCTCTAGAAATTTGTGAATGTACCTTTTGTACATATACCTGATTGTAGATAAAGAGGATAGATCTCCCCCCGATCTAGCACTTTTACATCGTCCTTACCTACCCTCCCACTATGGCTGCCAAACAACGCCATGTGGTGAGTAACAGGGCTAATTTTATCAGTGTAAATCACCCTGATACCTTGATAATCAGGGTGGTTTTTGGGAGTAACACTGATGGTCCAGGGTAATTTTTCTAAGAGTCAATACTACCCTGATGTGTCAAGGTTTACAATATAGGCACACTGATGACTAAGGGTCCCCCCCCCCCCGCCCCCCCCAGTTCCCCCACCCCCCCTTTTCCAGTAACATGGGATTCCCGAATCCCGATGGCCAACTGGCGAAACCGTAATTTCGGTCTTGACAATGCATGTGCTGGCTCAAAGTGGGCCACCTTACAGTTTCTCCAGGGTTTGTCTTTTAAGAACACTGATGCGACCCAAATTTTTGAAAACCGACATAAACCCTGATGTAACAGGGTTTTCAGAAGGGGTCACACTGATAATCAGGTTTTTGACCTTGTACCACACTGCTCATAAGGGTAGTCAAAATCCAAAAATTAGCCCTGGTGAGTACCTGTATGATTCCTTAAAGCCCAGCCCCCGAATTGCAAAAGAAGCCTTCACAAACTGGCCTCATTTGTGTCTCGTCCCTTCCAGGCAAAAAGGGTTTCGGGAGTTCAGAACCTCCAACTGCCTGCCTTTCCGAAGCTGTTTTTTCCGCGTTGACTCCGTTGAGCAATTGTGAAGTTGGTAACACACAAATTTCTGATTAGTCAAATACCAACACTATTGAATTTCTTGCTGTGCCCGTTTTGGCGGGGAAACCCGCCCAAACGGCTCCTCATTCGTTCCCATTTTCTAGAAAACCACGTCCGAGACGCACTTTGATGAGGTGAGCTGACTTCTGCTCTGCCAAGAGGAAGCACGTCCACCGTCGTGAACCGAATTCTCCCTATTTTGGATCTTTCTCCCAGAGAAAATTCCTCATCCGCTCACATAATCCAAGCCGTCGATCACAGATATCAGGCTGCGCCGTCACCATACTGATGGTGGTCATCTGCTCCCTAAGCTGATGCTCAGAACTTTTGAAGACTGCCCCCACGCGTCAGTCTCCATGTGCGTTGGGATCACATGTTCCTCCGAGAAGAGTTTTTCACCCAACCGCTTCCACCGAGCTCATCCCACCGCCACAACACCTCGATTTTCCAACCACCACCAGTGTTCCACGGTCCACCATTCTTGAAGCTCCCTCCCAAATTTGCCCGAACCCAGCCCTTTCCATATGAGCCACCACCACTTTCCTCCACATCTTGCCCTCGTGCTCTTCCGTGCTCCGCTCCTACTCCCCTCTGCTCACATTCACTCTCCCGTCCCTCTTGCTCGCGTCGCGATACGTTTCAAAAAGCGAGACTGACGGCCTTACCCTCAGTTTCCCGTGGTTAATATTTCTTTCTCGAAGCGAGCTTCCTTTGCGCGTAGGAACCACTGAGTTACGTACGCTGCTTCAGAAATCCGGATAGCCTTACATCCGGAAATCTGGTGGTCTTTAGCCTCTGACAATTTCGTGCATCAAGTGAACGGACTACTTGTCCTTTTGAAGAACTGCCGTCTCTTTGCTTGGTGCTTTGCAGCCGGGCCCTTAGCAACCCTCAGTAGGATTAGCGACATATTGTTGAGTTCAGCTGCATGTTAACGGCGCGTCCTGAATGAGCACGTTGATGCTACTCATCGGCATGCGCACATTGTAGACCTCTGTTTCCAGTTTTGAGTAACGCAGAAAACCAGCATGAGTCGAATACGCAAACGAAACCCCGTCTTCGGCATGGCGGGATTGGCTGTTGCGTTCCTACTCCTCCTACCGCTCTTGCCGTCTGAAGGTAATAAATTTGTTACCGTTGTCAGTTGCCTTTCTGGTCGGCAAGTACAGTAGTTCTCGTCTTAATGTACACGGCCAGCATACCGAGTCTCAGCTCGTCACTGTGTCGTCAGCTTTTCTTGCTGTAGTTGCTGATGCACGCTACTAGTCCTTTGCCGTGGCTGGACTTACACAGTTTGGGCAAATTCCGTGTCCCAGTAGCACATCTAGGCTCCCAGCTCCTCCGGTATACGTATCGGTGTGTATCTATCCAGTTTCCTCATCCGCCGACTTCTCTTCGTTATTCTTTCTTCTTTTGCAGCATTCAATAGTCCCGTTGATGAGGAGGGCGTTCGCGCTCACTTTCATTGGCATCAATATCATCGCCAAGCATCCTGGTTACCATCTAGTGGCGACAGCAGCTCTTCCGCAGATACACGGAGCTCGACGTTTAGCCCGCGCGCTCCGTCCAGTAGTGCTGACTCACTGACTGATTCCGACAGCCTGACTGATTCTTATAACCGAGTTCACTTAGACAAATTGACTGACCATACAATTGGGACTGATTCTGTCAGCCCAACAAAAACGCCAGCTGATTATGATGATGATGACGACGATGATTTCGACGACGACGACGCCTTACTTGCCGCTAATCCAGCCTCCGCCTTTGACGACGATTTCGGTTCCACCTCGTTTCAGTCACGTCTCGCATACTCACAATCAGCAGAGTTCAAGTCCAGACCAGATACGCTCTTTCTAAGTTCGCGGGACGAATACTCATCCTCCTCCTCTTTCTCACCTCGCTCCTCCTTCTCGTCCTCCCGTCCCTCGACTTCCTCCCTCCGTTCCTCCTCCCCTCCCCCAAATCCCTCGCAACCCTCCTCGCGTTTCGCCTCCCCTCTCCCCAACCCGTCACCACCCTCGCCCGCATCTTTTCGTAACAAAAATCCTCCAAGATCCTGGAAGATTCCTAGAAGCAGAAACCCGAACAGAATTAGCACTAGAATAGGAACGCAGCGAGCGTGGGCTCCTGTTGTTCCTACACCCGAGTACGTGCACCCTAGCGAGGTGTCCCTTGACGCGGCTTTAGCATTCGAGAGGCAGCGGGTGCTTCGGCAGGAGCAGCGTAGGCGGCAGCAGCAGGTGACGGGGCCGTGCAGCCCGCTAGAAACGGCGAAGGTGATACGGATTAAGTCGTACGCGGACGTCGCGAAGCGATTAAACTTCGCGCCGACTCAGACCGTGATGCTGGTGCTGCTTCCACCTGGGTTCATCGCTAGTACGGGTCTGCTGTTTGACGGAAACTACTCGTGCACGATCCTGCGAAGCAAGAAGCCCGCGCAGAGAAGGTAGGGTGGGCTCACATCATGACTCTCATTATGTCTCTCCTGATTCATTCCATACACCAGTGCCTCCCTACCTTGTCAGCCTGTTACCCCGTTACCCGCCCCGTTACCCATCCCGCACAACCGCCCCATCATCCCATCCCGTCTCCGCGTGGCGGATACATCGAACTCACCCACGCCATGCAACCCGTGCTGCGCGTGTGCAGCATACCCTATTCCGTTACCCTGTTACCCTGATGCCGCTTCCCCATGACCCCGTTACTTTGTTAACCAGTTACCCCGTCACAGTTACATCAAAGTCACCCACGCCATGCCATTCGTGCTGCGCATCTGGAACACGCACAACGTGATCGTCATGCACGTCAATTTCTACCTGCCACTCTTTGTGCTGCCGCCATGCCTAATCCCGCACCCCAACCCCATCACCCCGTTACCATGTTACAGTTACATCAAGCTGACAAACGCACTGCAGCCCGTTTTACGCATCTGGAACACGCACAACGTGATCGTCATGGACGTCAATTTCTACCTGCCCGTCAAGTCCAGCTCGCGCCTGTGCTCCTTCACTGAGGTCGGCAAGGGCATGCTGTGCCCCGCCATCCACATCTGGCGGAGCTACGGCGTGCAGGTGGCTAAGGTTAGTCTCTTTCAAGATACTAAGTCCCGCTCTCATGTTACACTTGCATGAGAAGCCTGGAAAACTTGCATGTAAAGTCCCGCTCGCTCATCCTTCCCTCCCCCCCCTCTCCCCCTTCTTCCTCCCTTCCCCCTTTTCCTCCCCCACAGGGCGAGGTGTTTGGGCGCATAGACGTGTTTCGCAGCATGCAAGCGCGGGTGGATGGCATGAGGGTTACCGCCACCGACCGCTTTGTCAACTCGCCGCCACACGCCCCTGCTCCCCTCCCTTTCACACACTCTCCCTTCCCCTCCACCCTCCCCTCCCCCTTCTCCCTCTCCCCTGTCCCCACCCTCCCTTCCCCACCCCCAGGGCGAGGTGTTTGGGCGCATAGACGTGTTTCGCAGTATGCAAGCGCGGGTGGATGGCATGAGCGTCACCGCCACCTACCGCTTTGTCAACTCGCCAGGGGTTATTCGCATCGGGGAGAGCGGGTACGGGCCGGAGCTGGTGCGGGCAAACATAGTGATCTCGAATAATGAAGCATACGGTGAGTGGTGGAGAGTGGTGTGCCCCCTAAGTGTAGCAAGTACGCTGTGTTGCATTGGGGAGAGCGGGTACGGGCCGGAGCTGGTGCGGTCGAACATAGTCATCTCAAACAACGAAGCATATGGTGAGAGGTGTGGACACACCCCTGTTGTGATGCACTGGGGGGCGGTGGGAGTGGCCGGGGTAAACAACTTTGCTCACGACTTAGGTTCGGGGGCATTCGGTGCGGCGCATACGTGCACTTTGCGTCTGATTTGGACGCAAAAGCATGTGGAGCGAACATGCACTCGTCCTCTCCCTCACCCCTCCCGTGCTTTCTTATCTCTCCGCCCTCGCTTTTCCTCCATCCTTCTCAGGCGTGGACACCCCTATTGTGATGCACTTGGTAGCGGTGGGAGTGACAGTGATCAACAATTTCGTGCACAGCTTTAGGTTTGCGGGTATACGGTGCGGCGCTGACGTGCACTATGCGGGCGAGGCACCTCAGAAACACGTGAGGGCGATCATGCACGCATCCTCTCTCCCGCTTCTCCTCCATCGTCCCCTCCTTCAGGCGTGGACACCCCTATTGTGATGCACTTGGGAGCCGTGGGAGTGACAGTGATAAACAACTTTGTCTACGACTTTGGCTTTGCGGGTATACGGTGCGGCATGGACGTGCACTATGCTTCTGATGTGGCACCTCAAAAGCTCAGACTTGCACGCACCTTCTTTTCCGTTTTCCTCCATCTTCCCCTCCTTCAGGCGTGGACACCCCTATTGTGATGTACTTGGGAGCGGTGGGAGTGACCGTGATCAACAATTTCGTCCATGACTTTGGCCTTGGCTCTCACACCCCCACCCACCTACCGGTCCTCATCTCTTCCCCTCCTTCAGGCGTGGACACCCCTATTGTGATGCACTGGGGTGCGGTGGGAGTGACAGTGGTCAACAACTTCATCCATGACTTTGGGTTTGCGGGCATTCGGTGCGGCGCGGACGTGCACTTTGTGGGCGACTGCATGCTGACCAACATTTCCAACAACATTGTGTACAACTGGCGAAGGAATTCATCGGGGGATGTGGATTCTGCAGGAATTTATTACTGCACGCACTGGTTCAGCCCTGGTGGGTCTGGGTGGGGATGGGAGGTGGTGGTCAGCAGACTGCATGCTGACCAATATTTCCAACAACATTGTGTACACACAAGTGGCGAAGGAATTCATCGGGGGATGTGGATTCTGCAGGGATCTACTACTGCACGCACTGTTTCAGCTCTGGTGGGTGGGAGGGTGGTATGCGGTGGTACGGCAGGGGGCAACTACGTGGCAGAGGGAGACCACTGTTACTACCTGGACTATGTCACATCAGGCGTGGTAATCCTGCTGCTCCTTACCTAACTCCCTCAACCCCCTTCATTGTATTTGCAGGGAACGTGGCAGAGTGCAACTACATAGTAGGGGGCGACCACTGCTACTGCCTGGACTATGTCACACCAGGTGCTCACTCCCTCCTATTCCCTCATACCCCTTCGTCTCTCTTCACCTCCCTTCACATTGCAGGCAACGTGGCAGAGTGCAACTACATGGCAGGGGGAGACCACTGCTACTACCTGGACTATGTGACGTCGGGCGTTCTGATCCTGCTGCTCCTGACCCAACTCCCTCAAAACCCTCCACCCCTTCTTCCCCTTCGAATCCCGTGAAACTCTTTCCAGGCAACGTTGCTGAGTGCAATTATGTGGCGGGCGGTGACCACTGCTACTATCTAGACTATGTGACGTCGGGCGTGGTGATCCGTGGGGGTGCGTGCATCAACACGTACGATGGCATCAAAGTCAACAACGGCAAGCTGTGAGTAGCGGTTGGTAGGTGTAAGAGCTGTAGGTACGGTGATGCTGTGATGCTGTTGTGTGATCCGTGGGGGTGCATGCATCAACACGTACGATGGCATCAAGGCCAACAACGGCAAGTTGTGAGTAATGATAGGTGTACTTGGTGGTATTCTCCACATTAGCATCGTGGCATTGGGTACGTGCATCAAATTAACACATACGATGGCATCAAAGTCAACAATGGCAAGCTGTGGTGTACTTGGTGGTATTCTCCTTATTAGCATCGTGGCATTGAGTACGTGCATCAAATCAACACATACGATGGCATCTAAGTCAACAACGGCAAGCTGTGAGTAATGATAGGTGTACTTGGTGGTATTCTCCTTATTAGCATCGTGGCATTGGGTACGTGCATCAAATCAACACATACAATGGCATCAAAGTCAACAACGGCAAGCTGTGAGTAATGATAGGTGTACTTGGTGGTATTCTCCTTACTAGCATCGTGGCATTGGGTACGTGCATCAAATCAACACATACGATGGCATCAAAGTCAACAACGGCAAGCTGAAAGTGCGGGTAGCTGCAAAGATTGTTTCCTGTGGTTTCATGACCCAGTGATATTGGCATGTTAGCATGGGTGTGTGCATCAACACGTACGATGTGATCAGAGTCAAGACCAGCAAGCTGTGAGTGAGAGTCAAGACCAGCAAGCTGTGAGTGAGAGTCAAGAACAGCAAGCTGTGAGTGAGAGTCAAGACCAGCAAGCTGTGAGTGAGAGTCAAGAACAGCAAGTTGTGAGTGAGAGTCAAGACCAGCAAGCTGTGAGTGAGAGTCAAGATCAACACGTACGATGTGTTCAAAGGCAAGAACGGCAAGCTGCAAGTCTTGTCAAAACATATTAATTCTGCATCAACATTGGTGTGTAGGGGGGGGGGGGGTGAAAAACAACTTGCGGGAAACAGTGTCTACAAAGCAGCTCCGCTCCTCCCTCCCTACCCCGTGCTAATCCAGCAACGTGATAAAGCACATTCTCTTGAAGAACGTGGAGGGCATGCCAGGCTGGTGCACGTGCTTCACTCCCACCATCAAACATTCCGCTTCCCCCCCCCCCTCCTCCCAACCCCTCAGGAATGTGATAAAGCACGTGATTCTGAAGAACGTGGAGGGCATGCCAGGCTGGTGCACGTGCTTGACTCCCACGGTCAACAACTGCCGCAAGGGCCCCGGGACCTACTGGGAGAAGATGCGCCTCAAATACTATGACACCGAGCTGTTCCGCAAGGTGAGTGGCTTTTCTGCTCGACAAGCCACACAGCAGCATCCAATGCATGCATGCACCGTGCAAGCAAGCAGGGTATTGGGATAAAACGCGGCTCAAGTATTACAACACTGAGCTGTTTTATGAATCAAGCTGTAAGGAAAACTCCCTTTCCTTACTTCGCGCCCCTGCTTACCGCGTACATGACTATTCCCGCCACCAGCACCCCACAGTAAAACGTTACCCGCTCGCGACACTCGCCTCGACCACTGTTCCCGCCACGGTACACCTCGCAACCCAACCTCACGGTTCAGTTGGTAACCCGCGCTCCGGTCCTCCGCCTCGACATTTCCCAACCTCGGCGCTAAGCCCGTAGCGCACCCCGATTTCTCGCGTTACCGTTACCACGCTAGCTTCGCTATATATTCTTCGCTCATGCCTTCGCTCAATGTACTGTTTTGCTTCGGTAGTGCAATTCTCGCTCGCTCACTCAATTGCACTCGTAACACAAGCAAACAAACAGATCAAACAAGCAAGCAGGGTGAGTGGCTTAAGAATCATGGATTGATGAATCAAGCAAACAAACACATCAAACAAGCATGCAGGAACGAATTGCGGCAACATGCGCGTGTGTGAAGACACATCCATCAACGGTGTGGGCTGTAACCTAACCCTCTTTGTTCTCCTTCCTCTTTCTCCCTCTACCATCAACCCTTCCCTGTACCCCACCCCACCGCCCATTCCCCTCACCAGCTCTGGTCGACGTTGCCCAGGGTGTGTAAAGACACATTCATTAACTGAAGACACATTTATTAACTGAGTCAACTGTAATCCTGACCCTCTCTCTTTGTCCCCCTCCCTCTCCATACTTCTTCTCCTGCCCTCCCCTCCTCAGCTCTGGCCCTGGTGGCCCAGTGTGTGTAAAGACATGATTAACAAATTCAAACCCCAACCATTGCTGTTCGTCTCACTCCCCCACCCTCCATCATCCCCCCTCCCGGCACCCCCTTGCCCATTCCCCTCACCAGCTCTGGCCCTGGTGGCCTAGTGTGTGTAAAGACACATCTATCAACGGTGTCAGCTGCAACCCTCCTGGTGCCATGGGGGCTTACTTGACCGGCAACTGTAGCGGGCTCGGCACTGAGAATTACCTCGACCTTGTCGTGGTCAACATGACTAAAAGGGGCCTCGATTACAAATATTGCGAGAAGATTCCTGGAATGCCGAAATTCAACACGCATAAGATGATTAATATCACGACGAGCTCGCTAAAGGTGCTGAGGAAAATGGGGTTTCGGAACTACAAGCGGCACGATCTGGCGATTGAGTCGTGGTCCCCGATTTATAAATTCCGGCCGCAATTCAAGAGTTGCCGGAAGGGTCTGGCGGGTATGAAGGTTATCACCAGGGAGGAGTACAGGAATGCATTTAATATTCCGAAGCCGTACTACTTTGATTTCACTTTGGCAATGAACATGACGCACGTTCATGATAGGTTCTTAGTTCCTAATGTATGAACTATATATTTTTTCTTTATCTAATCACTCCTGCGAGAATAAATGTACTCCTGGGATCTGCTTGCTTCTCACTTCGCTCCTTGGGACTTGCCACACAAAAATATCCTGCGAGACAGAATTTCAGGTTCCAGTCCGCACCAGTTCAGCTGATCAGCACAGGCCCTACACCGATCAGTTCTACATCTCTAGCGAAATTTCGCCGGAGTGATTGTAGTAACGGAATCCGGTTGACGGCCGAGGTCCTGAGTCTCGCCATTCGTCCAAATTGCCTCTTAGGAACACGGCAACGGTCCGGTGTGAAGGAGTGAGAGTCGGTGCTCTGGTGTTGACTCAGCTACGCGCTGGCCACGAATGGATTCTGAGCGCTGAGCTTCCGTCTTGGAGGATTCAGAGTGCCGAGGCTTCATCTTTTGGGAAAGCAGTTTCGTTGAACATTTATGAGTATGGAAGGGGGAAGGAAGCGTTTTAGATGACATAGCCTGATTCTTCGGTTCGTATACGCCTATACCGAGCAGTTCTGTCCGTAGAAGCTAATACCGAGGTTTTTGGTTCGTAGAAGCTTATACCGAGGATTCTGGTTTCCATGGGGAAGAAGGGAGGAGGCTCGGTGAAGGTCGGCAAGGGCGGCAAGGCAGCCAAGGGCCGCGGAGGAAGCGGCGGAAGAAACGGCGGAGAGGGCGGAGAGAAGAACTTCGATGCGGGGGAGGTAAGAGAGAGAAGGAGAGAGGGGAGGGGCGCAGAGAGGAATACGAGTTCGAGAGGGAAGGTTGAGGTTTGATCATAATACTTGTCAGTTAGTGTGCAATCTCCTTATATCCTCCTCATAGCCCCATCATGGCCTCCCACAGCCTCCCCATAGCGTCCTTCACATTCTGCCGGCATAGACTCACTCGTCAGTTTCTTCCCTCCCGCTTCCTCTTCCGTCCAACCCTCCTGGCCAGGCCTCCGTTTCTGCCAGCCGAGCACGGCTAGGAGGCAGGCAGTAGCATGGCAAGGGGAAGGTCAGAGGGTGTAGGAAGGAGGACGAGACGGAGAGGGAAGAATCAGGGACTTATTACAGCCTCCGCACGCAGCATCTTTAGTGTCCCCCTTGGGACAAATAGGCTACGTACCAAGTCTATCTTCCTCTTCGTTCCACCCCGCCCATCCAGGCCTTGAGCACAGAGGCAAGCAGCAAAGACGGCAAGGGAAAGAACGGGAGACGGAACGCCAAGGGGAGGAAGGGGAAGAGCCAATGTCGCATTGCTGCCTCCTCATAGCATCCTTATAGCCTCCTCTTCCTCTTCCTTCCACCCTGCCTGTCCAGGCCTTGAGCACAGAGGCAAGCAGGGAAAGAAAAGGAGAGGGCGTTCCGTGTACGGAGGAAGATGAGACGTAGAGAAGAGGGAAGAGCCAGAGTTCCGTTGCAGCCTCCTCATAGCATCCTTAGATTCTATAGTCTCTTTTCCTCTCCTTTCCTCCTGGCCCATCCAGGCCTCAGCGCAGAAACAAGCAGCAAGGACGGCAAGGGGAAGGGAAGAACGGGAGAGGGAACGCCAAGGGGAGGAAGGGGAAGAGCCAATGTCGCGCTGCTGCCTCCTCATAGCATCCTTATAGCCTCCTCTTCCTCTTCCTTCCACCCTGCCTGTCCAGGCCTTGAGCACAGAGGCAAGCAGGGAAAGAAAAGGAGAGGGCGTTCCGTGTACGGAGGAAGATGAGACGTAGAGAAGAGGGAAGAGCCAGAGTTCCGTTGCAGCCTCCTCATAGCATCCTTAGATTCTATAGTCTCTTTTCCTCTCCTTTCCTCCTGGCCCATCCAGGCCTCAGCGCAGAAACAAGCAGCAAGGACGGCAAGGGGAAGGGAAGAACGGGAGAGGGAACGCCAAGGGGAGGAAGGGGAAGAGCCAATGTCGCGTTGCTGCCTCCTCATAGCATCTTTATAGCCTCCTCTTCCTCTTCCTTCCACCCTGCCTGTCCAGGCCTCGAGCACAGAGGCAAGCAGCAAGGACGGCAAGGGAAAGAAAGGCAGAGGGAACGCCAAGGGGAGGAAGGGGAAGGAGGGGAGAGGCACGTACAAGGGCGGAGGGGGAGGCGTGTGGGAGCAGCTGAGGACGTTGGGGTTGTGCATTCGGGAAGTCAGTGCAGACGGAAACTGCTTCTTCAGGTTGTTCCTTTCCTCCTGACTTTTGAGTTGACTGAAAATAAGTCAGTGGGGACGGAAGCTGCTTCTTCAGGTAGTTCATTTTCCTCTGGCTTTTTAAGTCGACTGAAAAGTTGCCTCGTGTGGGAGCTGCTGAGGGCGTTGGGGCTGTGCAATCGGGAAGTCTGTGTGTGCAGACGGAAACTGCTTCTTCAGGTTGTTCCTCCTAGCTGCCTCAATCTCCTTCTCCGCCCCTTCCGCCTTCCTCTCCCCCCAAACTTCCAGCTGCAGCTTCTTTCCTTTACTCTCCATTCAAGTCTATATGCCTCTCTTATCTTATCTTTTTTTCCTCTATCTCTCCGCACCTTTCTTCTCGGAACCCCAGAGCAGTGTCGGATCATGTGTTTGGGAACCAGGCCAAGCACGTGGACCTCAGACATGCTTGGACAACAAGTGAATATATGCCTCTTGTATCTGTTGCTCTTCTCTCTCTCCCCAATATTGTTCTCGGTATCCCCCAGAGCAGATCGGGTCATGTGTTTGGGAACCAGGCCAAGCACGTGGACCTCAGACATGTTTGGACAACAAGTGGATATATGCCTCTTGTATCTGTTGCTCTTCTCTCTCTCCCCAATATTGTTCTCGGTATCCCCCAGAGCTGATCGGATCATGTGTTTGGGAACCAGGCCAAGCACGTGGACCTCAGACATGCTCAGGCAACAAGTGGATATGCCTCTTGTTCTCCTATCTCTCTCTCTCCCCTCCTCTACTCTTGGTACCCCCCAGAGCAGTGTCGGATCATGTGTTTGGGAACCAGGCCAAGCATGCAGAGCTCAGGCAGCAAGTGGTTGACTACATAGAGGTGAGGAGTGAAACATCTTCAGTCGACTCGAGCTGCACGTTTTGAATCACTCAATTTACACCTTTGCAGTCGAATAAGCGGAGCTCAGGCAGCAAGTGGTTGACTACATAGAGGTGAGGAGTGAAACATCTTCAGTCGACTCGAGCTGCACGTTTTGAATCACTCAATCTACACCTTTGCTGTCGAATAAGCGGAGCTCAGGCAGCGAGTGGTTGACTACATAGAGGTGAGGAGTGAAACATCTTCAGTCAACTCGAGCTGCACGTTTTGAATCAATCAATCTACACCTTTGCAGTCGAATAAGCGGAGCTCAGGCAGCAAGTGGTTGACTGCATAGAGTGAGGAGTGAAACATCTTGTGTTTAAGATCATGTCACTCGTGAAAGGAGTGACTTGCATGTTTGTAACGTTGCAGACTGGGCCGATATGTCACATTAACATATGTCCTTTCGTGTCCGTGTCGCTTGTGTTGTGATGGCCATACAATTGTCCTGTGAACGTCCTGGTTGGAGACGTTACACTGGTCAGGTCAGATTGATGGTCTTGTCACATCACCGTCCAGGATCATGTCACACCACTCGGTTACGATACGACCGTGGTGTTTCACATTTTATAATTGCATTATACAGTGCACTTTCACACAATAAGTATATATATATATATATAATGTCACATCACCTGTCACCAGGTGATGTGACAGGTGTTGTTACATCACCTGTCACACCATCTTTCTTACAACATTGTCCCTCCCTACCCCCATGCCAGGCACACGAGGCAGACTTTGCCCCGTTCGTGGAGGACGACATGGGCTAAGGAGTACTGCAATAGCATCTCCTGTCACCGTCAGGGTTAAAACCCCACCTGTTGGCACACTGTCCTCTGTCCCCCCCTCCTTACCAGACCCACGAGGTTGACTTTGCCCCGTTCGTGGAGGACGACATGGGCTTTAAGGAGTACTGCAGCAGCATGCGCGAGGACGGCACATGGGGTGGACACATGGAATTGCAGGCTGTTTCATTGCTGTTGAAAAGAAACGTTTGCATTCACCAGGTGAGTGAGATTTCTTAGCACACTGAAGGAATGAATGAATGAATGAATGAATGAATGCACTGTGTATGGTCTTTAAAGGCATGCATAAGAATCTGGATCCATTCCATGCATCAGGCGAGACCCTACCTCACATTGCACGCATCAGTTGACACGTGTCATCATTTTCCCCTCTTTTATTCTTCCGCTCCATGTCCCTCGTTTTCTCTCTGGCTCCTTGCTTTTCTCACCACTACCACTCTACGCATCAGGCGAGACTCTACCTCACATTGCATGCATCAGTTGACACTCTGACTCACATTTTTAAGTCCCCTGAATGCCTTGCGTATGTGCCCTCACTCTCCATCTCTTCAGTTGCAGCAGCCCCGGTGGAACATTGTCAACTTTGATGACGCCAGCATTCCCACCATCCACCTGTGAGCCATCACAACACCATCCACCTGTGAGCCATCACAACACCATCCACCTGTGAGCCATCACAACACCATCCACCTGTGAGCCATCACAACACCAAACCTTTCGTCAGATCGGTTCCTCACTGTCATGCTTTGAACCCTGTCATGCTTTGAACCCTGTCATGCTTTGAACCCTGTCATGCTTTGAACCCTGTCATGCTTTGAACCCTGTCATGCTTTGAACCCTGTCATGCTTTGAACCCTATCATGCTTTGAACCCTGTCATGCTTTGAACCCTGTCATGCTTTGAACCCTGTCATGCTTTGAACCCTGTCATGCTTTGAACCCTGTCATGCTTTGAACCCTGTCATGCTTTGAACCCTATCATGCTTTGAACCCTGTCATGCTTTGAACCCTGTCATGCTTTGAACCCTGTCATGCTTTGAACCCTGTCATGCTTTGAACTTTGTCATGCTTTGAACCCTTGATACTTCTTCCTTTTCTCTACTTTGAATCTTTCTTCCCCGTTGTAATCTTCCACTCCACATGCTTCGTGTCCTCTCTGGCTCCATGCTTATATAGCAGCTCTTGAAAGGGGATGTTGGGTCGCTGAAACACAACCGTAGCAACCACCTTTCCTCTCTCTCTCCCCCCTCTACTCTCCTCCACACTCCCTACCACAGCTCCTACCACGACGGGGATCACTACAACAGCGTGCAGATGGAAGGGGACGAGCTGTAGGTGGTCGCTGAGCCTCATGCAGACCAGAGTAACCACGATCTCTCTCCTCCCCCCCTTTGATTCTCCTCCCCCCCTTTGATTCTCCTCCCCTCCCCCACAGCTCCTACCACGACGGGGATCACTACAACAGCGTGCGTATGGAAGGGGACGTTGGATGTACACTAGCTCAACCAATCACCATTCAGGTTCAGGTTCACCATTAGCCCCTTGCCTCTGGCCTGCCTCTCGCCTGCCCACTCCTCAGCCATGCACCTCCATGCCTTTCTTTTTCCAATCCAGGCGCTTTATTCTAGAATGCTAGAAAACGACCTGCACCTGACCGTGCCTCTCTCACCGCTACCTCTACGCCACTGTTCTTGTGTTCAGAGTGGCGAGGTGCCTTTTGAGTCGACTCAAAAGGCACCTGACCGTGCCTCTCTCACCACTACCTCTACACCACCCTTGTTGTGTTCAGAGTAGCAGTGGCAATTTGCAAGGGCCAAGCCTCATAAGCCGTGTTGACGTTGCTTTTGAGAATTCTCAAAAGCCGTGCCTCTTTCACCACTACCTCTACACCACCCTTGTTTTGTTCAGAGTAGCAGTGGCAGTGGCAATGGCAAGGGCCAAGCCTCACAAGCACGGTCATCTGTACCTGCAGCATCGGTCCCTGGGTCAGCAGCATCGAGTGTGGATGAAGGGGCGGTGAAGCTCGTCATCTCCTCCACAGGCTGCCATGACCGCCAGATGGTTATTCAGGTGAGAATCATTCAGGTGAGTCAATCATTCAGCTGCAGCAGCAGCAGCAGCAGCAGCATCGAAACTCTGCAGCAGCAGCAGCAGCAGCAGCATCGAGTCATGTCCTCCACTGGCTGCCATGACCGCCAGAATATTATTCAGGTGAGTTGATCCATCCTCGTCCCCCACTCCTCGGTACATTACAAGCAGGGCTCTCTGTAACTGCAGCGTCTGTCCTTGGGGTTTGAAGCATGGGTATGGATGAAGGGGCGGTGAAGCTTTTCATATCCTCCACTTGCTGCCATGGCCGCCAGAGGGTTATTCAGGTAAGATGATTTATCCCCTTCTCCTATGTCCTCCACTCCACACTCTGCCATGACCGCCAGAGGGATATTCAGGTGAGAATCAATTAGGTGTGAATCATTCAGGTGATTTGTTGCCTCCTCCTCTTCCCGCCCTCTTGTGTGTAGCTTGCAGAGTAATTCAGGCTGTGGCTGCCATGTCCTCCAGAGAATGTTCTGCCTGTTTACCATCCCTTCTCTCCCCTCACCCCACGTGGCAGACCTTGGATGACCTGTCAGGTGACGTGGATGCAGCCATAGAGTACCTCATTGCTGTCCTGGCCAATGAGACGACGCGTTGCGATGCAGAGCATGCAGCACCTCTCTCCTCATCCTCGATTCCTCCAGGTCCTGTGCTAGCAGAAACACCAGCAACTGCACCAGTGGCATCACCATCTGAAACAGCATCACCACCTGATACAGCCACACCTTTTACAAGCAAACCGCCTGCAACGCCGGAGGCAGCAGCGCTTCCAGGCACAGCTGTTCCCAGTGATGAGTGCAACGAGCATCAGCAAACGGCCTCAGCTGCAGCACATGAAGCAGCAGCAGCGACACCAGCAACGGAAGGTGATGCTGCTGCAGTTGGAAGCCGCTGCGACAACATGCAGGCGTGTGCTGCTGCTGCGCCTGCTGATTCTCCTGCTGCTGATGCATCTGGGATTGGCGTTCCTGCTGGCTCAGTTTCTTCAGTTTCTTCTACAACTGTTAAGTCATATGCGTCAAGGCCGGTAAGTCAGCCTTTATTCTTTGTTATTTCTTGCAATATGCTCAGTTGATGCAGCAGGCACTCATGAGTTACCGTTTTGTGTGTTTTTATTCTGTCTGATATGAACAAACCTGTCATCAGGTTCAAGGCCGGAATAAGGCATGCCCGTGTGGCTCGAAAAAGAAGTTCAAGGCATGTTGTGGCACTGTGAAGGCTACTGAGAAGAGCATAGGAGATTCTGATCTTTCTAAAATGAGCATTAAAGAGGGGAAACACCATGTTGCAAAAATCAAGGGTTCTGAAGAAGCTGGGCGGCAAACTAAAGGTTGTGGAAGCTCTAGTGGGGATCTACAGGAGGGAAACTCACATATGGACCTTGGCTCTTTGTGCATCTGATTATGATTATACAGTGTAACGGGTCGTCAATGAATGTAGTGTACTCGCGTGAGGAGTTGACGTTCGCGAAAGGTTTCCATCCTTGTCGGCAAAGAACTCTGCACGACGACACGGCTTCGTGCATTCCACCCACCACAACCGTTGGTGCTGACAGCGCAGTCGCATCCCGTCGCAATACCCCTCCCCAAGATCGCACCGTCTCGATAAACGGGCAAAAGATACCGACGACGACACTTTGATTTCGGCACCCACCCATGAACTGCGGTCGCAAACAGAACTGAGTGACAAGCCCAAATGCTCCCGCTCGCGCGCTTCGCCGGTGCGTCATCGCGACTCGCCAATGTTTCCAAGAAATTCGACATTTCGCTCTTCGGAAATTCGTTTCTCCTCCTTCCAATCTTCCCTCTCCCCATCTGCTCCTCTTTGCGCCCTTCAGATATAGCTGTTGTTGAGACCACCACCACACTGACCCCTCGAATTCGGCACACCACAATCGACCACTCACAAACTGGTTTGGCAACCGCAGCAACACACCGGCATCGGAATCTAGTATTCGGTAGTTGACATAAGAGTAATGAAGACGAAAAACGGCACTTGGTTTTAGTATAAAGCTCATCCTCCTCCTCTTTGTTCGATCTGAGTACTGCATTCCGAAAATTCCAAGGCTGTGGCTGACGAGCGAGGGCCTGCTGGACAGTGCGGGTAGACGTAGAACCGCCTTCTTATCAGCTAATCTCGACGCTGACGAGTTAGGACCAGCAATCGCACTTACCCGATAAGTCCGGCAATCTCTCCAGCGATTCATAATCCGAGTACCGAGAATCAAGGGTCGTCGAGAAAGGGTCGCGGAAAAGGGTATTCGATTACGGACGCGCGCTCCGCGTTGATATTCACTTCACATGGCGCCTTCCCGGATACGACCCGCACTTGGCGTAGCGCTGCTCACGCTATGCGCCGCGCTCTCCGCGCTCTCTGCGCAAGCAAGTGCGTGTCTCCCCTTTGGCAAACCCAAGCTTTGCATCGGTAGCCGCAAGCGTGCCTCTATCGGTGTGTCACCTCGCTTCGTCATACGCGTGTGCTGCATGTCTCTTGCTTTGCCTCCGCTGTGCCGCGAATGCCGCGGTTTCTGTCGTATTTTTCCCCGTAGTCTTTCTGCCGTGTGGAAACTTACTCGCCGTGAACACTTCTAGATTCTTCCTATGGAGGATCGCGCACGTTGTCTCGAGCAACTCGAAACATGGCGGATATTAAACTTGTGGAGGATGACGAGGAAGAGGAAAGTACTGACCTAGAGGGTGACGAGGATTGGTTCAAACGTAAGGCCAGATTCACAGCTCTAACCTCCTATTTCCGATCCCTCTTCCTTCTCGCCCTCTATCCCTTCCTTCTCCTCTCCTGTTCTTGCCGTTCCCCCTTCTACTCCGGCCTCCCCGCCTCTCCTTTCCCCTCCCCTCTATCTCCTTCGTCGCCCCTCCTTGTTTCCCTCTTCCCCTCTCCCCCCCCGGCTCGCCTGACCTTGTTTCCGCCTGTGCAGAGGGATCGCACCCCAAGGGGTCCTGCACCCCCGTTAAAAGCAACGTCACTATCCCGATAAAAACTGCCGCCGATTTTCAGAAGCGGAAACAGCAGGGCCGCAACCAAACCGTCGTGCTTATGCTGCAGAACAGCCTGCTGCTCAGTCAAGGAAGCGGGTTGCTCTTTGACGCGGATTTCTCCTGCACTATTTTAACCGCCGCGAAACCCAACCTGTATATCAAATATAACGACGACGATATGCCGACGCTTCGCATATGGAACACGAGCAACGTGCTTGTATACGGTATCAATTTCCTCGTTGCAGTCACGACTGGTTCGCCTCAATGCCCGAACGTACCCGAGGTGGGTACGGGGGTTAACTGTCCCGCCGTACACATCTCCCGGTCGTACGGTGTCATCTTCGGCAAGTCTACAGTGTTCGGACGCGTTGACGTACACAGGAGTATGAATTCGCGAGTCGACAGCATCAAGGTTACCGGCACCCCGACTTTCGCCAGTTCGCACGGGGTCATTCGCGTGGCGTACAGCGGACACAGCACGAAGCTTATCAAGGCGAACATCGCTATATCCAATAACGAGGCGTATGGTAAGTGCACATTCCTTCCCTTCACGGAATGCCTTCCCTCTCGCAATCCTCGCCTAGTTTTTGTGATCCTTACTTCGTATTCCTCTTATCAATCTTCCTATTGCTCTCCACGCCTTCTTTGTCTCTCCTGCTGACGAACCTTTTGCTCCTCCCCCGCCCGTCCCCGTTACACGCGTGCAGGTGTTGACACGCCGATCGTCTTATATCGAGGCGCTGTGGGAGTGAAAGTGTTTCGAAACTACGTGCACGATTTCATCTTCGCGGGGATCCGGTGCGGCGCGGACGTGCATTTCTCGGGCGACTGTATGATGACGAACGTTTCCAACAACCTTGTAGTTGCTAAAGGGCGCAACACTAACGGGGATCACGACGCGGCGGGGATTTACTACTGCACGCACTGGTTCAACCCGGGGAACGTGGCGCAGTGTAACTACGTCTTTAATGGCGATCATTGCTACTATTTGGACTATGACACGTCGGACGTGCGCATCCGCGGCGGCGCGTGTATTAACACGTACGACGGGATTAAAGTCAACAACGGCAAAAGGTAAGCTCAATGATGCACCCTTCGATTCATAAGAGGCGCCTCAAGGAAGGGTAGTTTCGAGTACTAATGACAATTCTTAAACAATATGACACAAACGCTAGGAATCTTCTCTGTGTGGTGGAAAAGCGTGTGTCAAGAGAGAGCGTGGATCCTGTCTCTTATCCAGACTCCTTCCGTCCCAACCCTTTCCCAATCCCCCGCCTTCTCCCCTCCCCCTCGCTACAGGAACGTGATCAAGGACGTTGTAATGAAGGGACAGATCGGCGCAGTGGGGTGGTGCACGTGCCTTACTCTTCACTCTTCCCCCACACTTCCCCCCCTTTCTCCCCTCTCCTCCGTTACAGGAACGTCATCAAGGACGTTGTGATGAAGGGACAGATCGGTGCAGTGGGGTGGTGCACGTGCCTCACGCCCACCGTCAACAACTGCCTCAAAGACCCAGGGCTTTATTGGGAGAACATGAGGAAAGCTTACTACGACACCCCGGCATTCAGAAAGGTGAGAAGGAAGACGAGGAAAAAGGCGATTGTTGTGTGGTGGAAGGAGAGTGCTTTTTGAAATAATACAAAAAATCGCTCATTGGAAGAACGTGTGTCAGGAGAGTGCTCCTGCTTGGAATGCCAATCATTCTCAAACCCCTCCCTTCATCTCCTCCTTCCCTTCTTCCTTCCCCTCTCGCTCGCCCCCTCGCCCCACCAGTTCTGGCAGTGATGAACGTGTGTCAGGAGAGCAGTCAGCGGCCAGAGCTGCAACTCCCCACCCTTTTCCTCACTTCACGCCCCCTATCCCCGTCCTCTCCTCCTCCTCTCCCCTTCACCAGTACTGGCCGTGGTGGAAGAACGTGTGTCAGGAGAGCGCAGTCAGCACAGTCGACAGCCAGAGCCCTAGCCTTGTCCTCATTCCCCTCCCTCCAATTCCCTCTCTCTCTCTCTCTCACTCCCCCACCAGTACTGGCCGTGGTGGAAGAACGTGTGTCAGGAGAGCGCAGTCAATGCATTCAATGGGCTGAACTGCCACCTCATCCTCTTTCCCCTCCCTCCGCTCCTCTCTCTCTTTCTTCCCCCTTCACCAGTACTGGCCGTGGTGGAAGAACGTGTGTCAGGAGAGCGCAGTCAATGCAGTCAATGGGCTGAACTGCCACCTCATCCTCTTTCCCCTCCCTCCGCTCCTCTCTCTCTCTCTCTTCCCACTTCACCAGTACTGGCCGTGGTGGAAGAACGGTGTGTCAGGAGAGCGCAGTCAATGCAGTCAATGGGCTGAACTGCCACCTCATCCTCTTTCCCCTCCCTCCGCTCCTCTCTCTCTTTCTTCCTCCTTCACCAGTACTGGCCGTGGTGGAAGAACGTGTGTCAGGAGAGCGCAGTCAATGGGCATAACTGCAACCCCCCGGGCGGCATGACCGCCGCCCAAACTGGCAAATGCAGCGGCCTGGCCACGGAGAACCAGCTGGATTTGATCCTCGTTAACACGACTCGAGAGAGCCTCGAGTATAAATACTGTGAAACCCTGCCTGCGATGCACAAACTGAACCAGCATTCCCATGTGAAGGTGGGCTCGGTTCCTTCCGCTGGGTTCCGGAATTACAAGCGGAATGATCTGGGTTTGAGGCTCTGGTCGGATATCCGGCTCAAGCGGCCGAATGTTTTGAGCTGCCCGAGACGGGCAACGGGGCCGCAGAAGAAGATTAACGCGGCGTGGTACCTGAGGAGGTTCAACATTGGGAAGCCAAAGGGGTTTGATGAGGTGCTGACGATGACAACACTGCACCTCATGGACCAATCAAAGATTCCCAAGTAGGCAGGATAGTTCACAGTAGGAGGGTGGTGGAGCAAGGGGAGACGGAAAAGGAGGGAGGAGGAGGACATTTGAGGGGAAGGGTGTGAAGGAGATGGGGGGGGGGGGGGAGGGGGGGATGGGAGGAGACTAACAATGATCATGGAAGGGCGCGCTGTTGCTTTGACATTCCAGACTCAGTATACAGCAGCAGTGAGTGGTTAGTGGTGGCGCGCTGTTGCTTTGACATTCCAGACTCAGTATACAGCAGCAGTGAGTGGTTAGTGGTTGCAGGAGACAGTGCAGCAACAGGAATGAGGGGATGCAACGAGCAGCAATCCCACTCCTATACACTATGTAGCAGTGACTTGATACAGCACACAGGAGCATCCTGTGTGCTGGCTTGTAGGACATTTAATAGAGTAGTTACCGAACAGCTGTAGTTTGAGAGGTGGATAGGAGCTAGGGGAGTAGAGACTGTTATGTAGGATAGCTAGGTGATACAAGTGTGGCCTTGTTCAGCCACTAGTTTACTTGTGCATAATATAGAATACTATTTATTAGTATTAGACTCCATTGGAGCAACCAAGAGCTTCCTTGTAGCATTGTAATGGCTTTCAACGTTGACACATACAATTGCATAATAAGATCTGACACAAGTACGGACTGTACACGAGGCGATTCACTTGTCTCATCAATAGTGGGGAAGTACTGACCTGACGAACCTACCGCAGCTAATCCCACTCCACCCATCTCTTCCAAAACAACAGCCGCATAAACACCTTCCAGAAACCCACCTACATCGTACTATTTCTGTTACGAGTGCAATTGAGTGATCGAGCGAGGATTGCACTTTCGAAGCAAGAGTACAATGAGCGAAGGCATGAGCGAAGAATACATAGCGAAACTACAGTGGTAACGGTAATGGACTGTGGTTGTCGCGCGACGTGCCTGGGACCGAGGTTTGGGAAAATGTCGAAGCGGAGGCCCGGAGCGGGGGTTACCCGCCAAGCCGTGACGTCGGGGTGCGACGTGCGAAGGTGGCGGGAGGATTGTCGATGCGAGGGTTTGCGAGTGGTAACGGTGCTGACTGTGGTGCTACAGTGGTGTACGCTCTGAGCGGGGACGCGAAGTAAGGAAAAGGAATTTTCCTTACACTACCCCCCCCCTCCCCCCCTAAGGAGGTCCTCCTTACGAAAGTGCGTGTACATCCCTGAAGTTTCGGCTGCGCAGATACTCTGTGAGGACGGGGTGGTTTTCGACTCTGTCCAGGGGAACCCAGTTGTCTTCGGTGGGTGTACGGTCTTTCCAGCGGATCAGGAACTCCATCCTTCGGGCTCCTCGAGGGTCGCGAACTCTGTGGCTCAGAATTTTATCCGGTGTGATGATTGGCTCAGTCGGCGGTCGTGTCATGCTGGCTGGGCGATTACGTGGCAGTTGGCTTGTGGACGGGATGTAAGGGCGAAGCAGGCTGACGTGGAATGAGGGGCTGACGTACCAGTCAGCGGGGAGGAGGAGGTGGGCGGTGACGGGCGTAATTATGTGGCATATGCGAAATGGCCCGCAATATAGGGGGCGGAGTTTTGGGGTGATGGGCAGGCGGAGGTTCTGAGTGTCGAGTAAAACTAGGTCGTCAGGTTGGTGACAAGTCGGCGGTGGCGGTCGGTGTTACGTTTAGTGATGATGTTTGTTTTCTTTTATTGCGTCTGCTGCCCGGGTCCGTGCTGCTTGTAAAATTTCGGCGAACTGTAGTGCTCGTGGCACCGGGTTGTCGGGATTCGGGGTCATCGGTACTGTCGGGTCTTGTCTGTAGTTCAGGTAAAACGGTGACTGTTGGGTCATGGCAGATGGTGAGTTGTTGTATGCGAACTCAATGAGTGGCAGCTGTTGTTCCCAGGTGGTTGGGTCGTCGCACGTGGCTCGAATGAGTTGCTCCGTAGTCTGGTTTGTCCGTTCTGTCTGTCCGTCGGTTTCGGGGTGGTACGAAGAACTGAACTGTAGTCGCGTGCCGAACTGCTGCCACAGGTTTCGCCAGAAGTTGCTGGTGAATTTCGTGTCGCGGTCGCTGATGGTATCCCGTGCAGTCGAACGACGGTGGAGATGAAGAGTCGAGCTGTTTCTTCGGCTGTGATCGATTTTTTGCAGGCTGCGAAGTGTGCCATTTTCGTCAGGTGATCGAGGACGACAAGGATCGTATCGTTCCCACTCGCCCCAGCCAGTAACCCCGTGACAAAGTCCATCGTCACATGCTGCCAAGCACGCTCTGGGGGTGGTATCGGCTGCAACTGTCCTGCCGGCCGCTGCCGTGATGATTTCATGAGCTGGCAAGTGGGACACGATGCCACGTGTCGTTGTACGTCGGTCAATATCTCGGGCCAGTAATAATACCGCTGCAGCTGCTGCCGTGTTTTCTCTACCCCAAAATGCCCCGAGGTAACTCCGTCGTGTGCCTCCTGTAACTATAATACCCGTAGCAGTGTATACCCGGGCATCCAGATGCGGTCGGTCCCGACTTTTACGTAAAAGACTCCCCTTGCTGCTGCGAACTGCTGCAAATTTCCTCTTGTGTATAATGGATCCGTTTGGTACCCGTGGGTAAATAGGCCTGTCAGTAGGGGGCTGGTCTGGGCGAGTAATATTGCATGGATCTGGGTAGTGGGGCAGGTCAGTGCGTCGGCGATGTTCGAGGCTCCCTTTTTGTAGGTGATCGTGTAGTGAAAATTTGACTCGAGAAAATCGAGCCAGCGAATCTGTCGTGGGTTGAGGTGTGGCTGTGCAAGGAGGTACTGTAGTGATTTATGGTATGTCCTGTCAGAATGTTATGCTCTAGCCTGTAGTGGGGTGCTCTATAGCGAGTACAACCCTTCTAGGGTTTGCCATTTGTATCCTCATTCTTGCTAGTGCAGCCCTCTTCTCTCTTTTAACTTTGACATGCTATCAGAGCAGGTCGATCCTCTTGGATCGATCCTGTGGGTGGGCCCACCACCTCGTTGCTTCCGCTGCAACTGCTACTGCTACTCTCTGTGCCGCACGCCCCGTGGCGTGCGGCAGTTTTTCTTCCCGCCGTGCGCCCCGAGGCGCGCGACAGTTTTCTGCCTGCCGTGCGCCTCGAGGCGCGCGGCGGTTCTCTGCCCGCTGTGCGCCCCGAGGCGCGCGGCGGGCTTCTGCCTTGTCGCTCGGCGCGTCGCCCTCGGGAGGCGCTGCGACGGGCGACGGGGACCCGCGTGCCGACCCGCGCGCCGCTGCCCCGGCCTGTCGATGCCCGTGCGCCGCCCGTCCCGGCCCCGCGCAGCTGTCCCGGCCCCACGCCGCCCGTGCGCCGCCCGTCCCGGCCCCGCGCAGCTGCCCCGGCCCGTCGCCGCCCGTGCGCCGCCCCTCCCGGCCCCGCGCCGCTGTCCAGGCCCGTCGCCGCCCGTGCGGTGCCCGTCCCGGCCCCATGCCGCTGTCCCGGCCCCACGCCGCCCGTGCGCCGCCCGTCCCGGCCCCGGCCCCGCCTGCGCCCCGGCCCCGGCCCCGCCTGCGGCCCCCTTTTCCCGTCGCCCGTCGCGGCTCCCTCGGGGTGGGGGAGGGGGGGCGAGCGCCGCCCCTTCTGCTACCTGTCTTGGCGCCCTGGGAGGCCGCGAGTTGTTCCCCCCCCCCCCCCCCTCCCCCCCCCCCCCCCTCCCCCGTAACCTCCCTACCCGCCTTCCCGCCCTGCCTGTGTTAGGGTTTGGGGAGTGGCGAGTAGGGGGTGGCGAGTATGGGGGTGGCACTTCTGCATTCCTCCCTTTGCCCCTCCTCCTCCTTTGTCTCCCACTGCTGCAGCTGTCGCTGAGGGGGGTGGATGTGTGGGAGATTGGGGTTTAGGGTTTAAGGAGGGTGCGTGGGAGTGGAGCTAGCGGTGTAGCAGCGGGTGTGTGCCAGGGAGAGTGGGATAGTTTGGGGAGGCTGAAAGGAGGCTGTCGTCTTGTCGTCCGCAGCACCTGTAGTCCGGGGCGCTGTCCTGGTAGCCCAGAGAGCCTGCTGCGCCTGTCGCCCGTGGGTCCGTTGCTCCTGTAGCTCTTCGTAGCCCGTGAGCCAGTTACTCCAGTAGTCCGGGGCGCTGTCCCGGTAGCCACTGTGCCAGCCGCTCCTGTTGCCCGTGTGCCTGTAGCTTCAGCCGTCGTCTCCCATCTTCTCTCCTCTCACAGTCCCTCCTCCTCCTCCTCGCTTGCCTCCTGTGACTACCACTAGCTTTGCTCATAATTGTGAACTTTAAACTATTGCTTCTTGAACTTGTGCTCAGAATGTGTGGTGACATTGTGATCCACCCTGAGCTTGTTCTACTTTGCTTGCTCTCCTGATTACACCCCACTTTGGCTATGGGGGTGTGTCAGAATGTTATGCTCTAGCCTGTAGTGGGGTGCTCTATAGCGAGTACAACCCTTCTAGGGTTTGCCATTTGTATCCTCATTCTTGCTAGTGCAGCCCTCTTCTCTCTTTTAACTTTGACATGTCCGTACTGTGACGTCTGCGCCGGTCAAGTAACAACACCACACTTTGAACGCGTGCACGATCGCAAGCATTTCGCGGTCGTGTATCGGGTAATTTTTCTCGGGCGGATGCAGTTTTTGTGATTCGTATGCGATGGGCTTTAGGTCGTTGCCGAAGTCCTGTAGCAGTACGGCTCCGATGGCGATGCCGCTTGCGTCGGTAACTGAGAAGAAGTGAACGAGAGAATGAGTGAACTATGAATGAAGTGAGTACAAATAGGAAACCCTAGTTGGGTTGTACCCCCTATGGGATACCCCACTATAGCCTACAGAAATAAGTAAGCTATAATATTCTAACACACCCCCATAGGCAAAGTGGGGGAGAACAAGGGGTCACAAGACCAGTCAAGCAAAGCAAAGGAAAGCTCAGGGTGGATCACAAAGTCACCACGCATTCCGAGCACAAGTTCAAGGGCCACAAGGCCAGTTCACATGCAAGATCATATATAGAGATATACAAGAGTCAAGCAAGCAAGAACAAGAGTATATATAGGTCAAGGTACAAACAAGGTC